CAAAAATCACAATGTGGGAAATACAATGCTTCTCTCAATTCTTGCAGCCCCTGTTAACTCTGTCAGCTCAGCTTTTCCCTGCCTCCTGCAGGGGAAGCGAATCACAAGAGCAGGAGCCAGCAAAAATCACAACACAGAGAAAACCATGAAGCCAGCCTATGCCTCTGCATAGCTCCATCTTTCTCCCCCACCCCTTCTCCTCCTCCTCCTCTTCTTCTTCTTCTTCAACCCTGCCCATCTGGCTGAGTTTCCAGTCATCATGATATATCAGTATATTGTGATGTTTAGCTGGTGATGTACATGATGTTGAAAACCAGATATCACCCGCCATAATCAGAGGTGTTGAATGCACTCATATTTGACAGCTGAAATCTCTTGTGCTTCATCCATTAAGGAGATTCATTCAGTGGCCTTTTGTGCTACCCATCTCTATAAGTGGTACCATAGCTTTGGATCATGGTCCCTAGAGAAGCCCAACTTACCTAGCTGAAGAAAACAGATGAGAACTGATCTGAGAACTGAGTTCCCTGCAGAGAATTCTCTCACTCGGCTAATTCATCAGGCAGTGGCTTTAACTTTACAAGAGAGCTGAAACCTGCTTTTCCTTGCCATCTTGCAATCAGGAGCACACTACCTGCCCCTGACCAATTCTCAAATATGATGTCAGGTGTGGGGCAAGTGGGCACATTTTGGAGAAAATGACCCCATGGTCAAATTTGGTCCATGGTCTGCAGGATCCCCATCAATGTACTACACTTTCAGAGATTGTTAGGCTGGATCTACATTGATCTTCTAACGTTATTAAATATGACGTCCTATAACTTTCAATGGCAGTTTCCCTTTGCCGGTGGCTCACTGCTCAGCATCGCCCTCTGGTGTCACATTTTAATAACACATTTTTAACGTTATAAACCACAAGTGTAGATCCGCCCTTACTGTCTTAACACGTTGCTCATTTTAAATAAGGTTTGCTTTTGTGTTGATCAGGTTTTATTGTGTGTTTTATCTTCTGTACATCGCCTTGAGTACTTTCGGAAGCAAAGGGCAATTACTAAGTTTTTTAACTGAGTTGGTTTTTTTAAAAAAAAACAACTGACTTAATATGTAGCTCTTGTGATCAGTTTGGTAGATCAATTTCCCAAGAGACTGCTAATCTGATGGAGGAGATGGTCAACTGTAGAGGCATTGTGTGAACTGGACTTATGAAATGGAAATCGGAATGTAAGATGGGAGGGAGAGGAAGAAGAAGAGTTTGGATTTGATATCCCGCCTTTCACTCCCTTTAAGGAGTCTCAAAGCGGCTAACATTCTCCTTTCCCTTCCTCTCTCACAACAAACACTCTGTGAGGTGAGTGGGGCTGAGAGACTTCAGAGAAGTGTGACTGGCCCAAGTCACTCAGCAGCTGCATGTGGAGGAGCGGAGACACGAACCTGGTTCACCAGATTGCGAGTCTACTGCTCTTAACCACTACACCACACTGGCTAATGAGAATGAGCATGGGCAGCTAAGATGTGATGACTCAGTACAACATGAGCTATGCCATTCGGCAACGCATATCTCTGGGCCCCACAATCCGTTAATCTTTTGCCTTCTGGTACTTTTGTAATTATACACTAAACCTATATTGAAAGGGAGTGTCTGGGGACTAATTTATTAATGTTGCAGCATGTGGAGATGTAGAGCTGCAAGGCAGAACAGTTTTGCAGAACATAATTATTAATTTATATCCCGGAACATAAAAGAAACATTGCACATTAACAGCGCCACAATTGGGAAAGGGAGACGGATGAGCCAATAGATGGAATGTGCTTGGAATGCACACACAGAGGCTCCCCTTGGACATTGAAATGAAAGGGTGTAAGTCTGAGCCTGTCACAACCCAACCTTTGTGCACATGAGCTGAGAGCACTGCCTTGAACATGCCCTATGGCTTTCCCTTGCAAGGGAAGATTCGTATTAGTGGGCATATTTTCATTTAGGAATACAGTGGTGCCTCGCAAGGCGAAATTAATTCATTCCGCAAGTGTTTTCTTCTTGCGAGTTTTTCGTCTTGCGAAGCACGGTTTCCCATAGGAATGCATTGAAAATCAATCAATGCGTTCCTATGGAGACCATCCGGGGACAGAGGGGAAGCACCACGCGCCTTCCCCTCTGTCCCCAGACCTGTTTTAAAGCAAGGGGCGGCGGGGAGAAGATCGCTTCTCCCCGTTGCCGCCCCTTGGCTCAAAAGGGGTCCGGGGACAGAGCGGAAGATTGCAGGGCTAGCAACGGGGAGAAGCAATCTTCTCCCCGCCGCCCTTGCTTCAAAAGAGGTCTGGGGACAGCGGGGAAGACGCGCTGCGCTTCCCCGCTATCCCCAGAGCTTGCGGGGCAAGCTTCGTTTTGCGAAGCAAGCCCATAGGGAAATGCGTCTTGCAAAGCGGCTAAGAAAACGAAAAACTCCTTCGTCTAGCGAGTTTTTCGTCTTCCGAGGCGTTCGTCTTGAGGGGTACCACTGTACTCCTTGACTGTTACTGGCCTCCTCACTAAGGACCACCTGATATGCACCCCAAAGAGCCCTAAGGGATGCCTGAAAGCCCATGCTGTAGGCACCCTGTGCCCCCCAGGTGGCTGAAAAGTAGGAGATACCTGGAGAAAAGGGGAGGCAGAAAGAGATACGGGGGAGCTACACACTTTTGGCTCTGACCAGTTTCGATTACTGCCCCAAACAGATTACCTCACAGAAACACAACTCTCAGGGGTGGGGTAGGAGGAAGATTACCCATCCCTGCTCTAGATACCATACTTTTGAGATTATGCTTCTCCCTCCACATGCCAACTTTAAAAAAAGAAAAGGAAAGAGTTGTGTATGTTCATTTATGAAAAAGTAATTGAATTCCTCTGTGGAGGTTTTTTCCCCTTAGGACAGATGTTGACACTTAACCATGTAAACGAAGACTAAGCAACAATCAGCTTGGAGTCATGCAGAGGGCCCACTGTTACCTCCAGATGCAAACTTCGGATGCCAGATGAATCCCAGATGTGCATTCCCACCGCCGGGGTGTACACAAAGAAGACTGTGTTTATTGTCACTGCAGGGCTATCTCAGCAGCAAGCCTCCAATTAGGCCAGGAGGCTCAGTTTCAAGCCGTTTACCCCACAAGGCTTTGACTTATCTGGAAGGTGCTTGCGTTGACGGACAAATGAAGGCTATATCTCCCATGGAGGGCAAGACCTGCAGTCAGTAATGCAGGCCTTGAATTATTGCCTTGCTTCTCTCTCACCAGTTTCCCTCTTGAAGTTACTCTACGCCTTCACTCAAGTGAATCATGTGGATTTTCAGTGTAATTGTAGACTTGGGATCGTGGCATTCAGTAGGTCTTCCTCCCACATAAGTGGGCATTAGATCTCCTATCTTCAAAGGGTGGAATGTTGCTGTTACTTTCCAGGAATACATATCCAAAGGGAAGTGGTGGTGCAAGACAGAAGTAACTTTTGCCCACATCATCATCATCATTTTTTATTTGTATGCCGCCTTTCCACAGTTAAAAAAACAAACAATGCTCAAGGCGGCTTACAGCATAACAAGATTTACATAATTAAAGGTAAAGGTACCCCTGCCCGTACGGGCCAGTCTTGACAGACTCTAGGGTTGTGCGCTCATCTCACTCTAGAGGCCGGGGGCCAGCGCTGTCCGCAGACACTTCCGGGTCACATGGCCAGCGTGACAAGCTGCATCTGGCAAGCCAGCGCAGCACACGGAACGCCGTTTACCTTCCCGCTGGTAAGTGGTCCCTATTTATCTACTTGCACCCGGGGGTGCTTTCAAACTGCTAGGTTGGCAGGCGCTGGGACCAAGCGATGGGAGCGCACCCCGCCGTGGGGATTCGAACCGCCAACCTTTCGATCGGCAAGTCCTAGGCGCTGAGGCTTTAACCCACAGCGCCACCTGCGTCCCATTTACATAATTACAGAAGTCATAAACAATAAATAAACGACATCAAAAAAATACACAACCAAATGGGAAACAATTTCCACATAAATCAAACTCTAAGACTACAGCATTAATATCACAGTTTAAAATGACATAGGTAAAAAATAACAGCAATTTAAACAAAAAACAAAACAAAATTGAGCCCTCTCTGCCCAGCAGCAGCAGCGGCAGCAGTCCTTTATAGAGCCCATCAGGCCCCGCCCTAGGCCAGGTGTTGAGTGGCAGGACTGGGGCCCTCAGGCGCTGAGCAGGGGAGTCCTCCTGGGTGGTAGCCGCCGCAGCAGTTCTTATATCGTATACCCTCCAAGTGCCCTGATTTTCCAGGGATGGTCCTGGAATTACGAAAGCCATCCTAGCTTCTGATTTGACCCTGGAATGTTCCCAGTTCCCCTGCCAGTGCCACCATTGCTGAACTCAGGGAGAAGGGTGAGCCAGTGCTTCTCCTGAGTGTTGGCGGCTGTGGCAGCTGTGAGGGAGCATCCTGTTGGCTCTCCACGGCTGCCACTGCTGGCCTTCTCCCTTGGGCAGCTTGTAGAGGCTACTGGAGAGTGGATGAGGAGAAGGAGAGGCTGCGGCCACTGAGGCCCCGCCCGACATGATGCACTGGCTCTGAGGCAGAGGGCAGGGCTGCCCTGGGCGGGAAGAAAAGAGGAGCAGAGTGGAGTGCAAGGAGTGGTACTCGCCCTTCTTCTGATAGGAAATGTTCTGTGGTAGGGGGAGAACTACAAAAAATGGGGGGTTGAGGAGGGTCAGTTGAGGGGAGTGAGAAATGTCCCTATTTTCAACTGAGGAATGTCAGAGTGTATGCATATTCGGTTCAAGAATCCATTTTGGCCAAGTAGGAAAGTAGAAGTGGATGATGACTTGCAGAGAGGCCATTTTTCCCAATGCAGCACCGTTTTACAGCTTCCACTATTAAATCGGAATATCTTCCAACACTTTTGAATCAAACTTTCTACCTGAGCTGTTTGGGGATTTTTTTTTTATACATCATTTCCACAGCGAGATGTATTAATGCATACAGACCTGACCCAGTTCTGTTCCGTCACCTCTTCTTCAAAGGCAGCTGCCACATCCCAGTTCTGTGCCAGTTACAAATGCTCAACACTTCACAGTGGGCTGCCAGCGTCACGACAGCATCGGCAGACATGAAAAAAGTCCAAACAATGCAAAGAAAGAAAGTTAGAACTGAAGAAAGTGATATCTGAAAGCCCGAGTTCTATCTACAGAGTGGCATGCATCTATAGGGACTCCTTGAATTTTTAAGAAGTTTGGATTGTTCTCCACTAAAAATAATAATATCGGAGCCCTGTGTGCCAATTTCTATATGTAAATCCTGGTGTGCAGAAGTTTTCTATCTTGCTTGCTAGATTTCAAAGTGAATTCAGTGCAAACACATCTACTTGCCTACATGGTTGCACTTGCAGTTTGTGCTTTATTTAGAAGGTTAATTCGGTGGTTGGATTTCAGGATCATGGCCAAAATACGCCGTTCCAGATGAGAATTCTCAACTAATCAGGAAACGGAGCCTGTCCAACATCTGGCTTGTGTTAGTGAGTAGCCGTGTGTCTGATGACGGGGGAGCTCTCAGTGTGGGGGCAGCGGCAGGCCCTTAAAGCACAGCCACTCAATTTTGTGTGGGATTACAGGGCTGGCTAAGGTCGCCATTAATGTCAGAGTGGATCCTGACAGGGGGGAAATCTTGAAATGATGATTTCCTGCTTGAAATTCCTGGACCGCTACTTAGAGACAAGATTAGTTAGCGCAAAGGAATGGCTTGGTGCCTCTGCAGTTGGGTTACTCGGGGTATTCTAGCTTCTACAGCAGGGGAAGGTTAACCTGTGACCTTCTAGATTTCATAGAATTGTAGAGATAGAAGGGACCACAAGCGTCATCTAGTCCAACCACATGCAATGCGGGAATCTTTTTGCCCAATGTGGCCCTCGAATCCACAACCCTGAGATTGAGAATCTCTTGCTGTTGTGCTCCATTTCCCATCAGCCCCGTCCATCATGGCCAATGGTCAGGGATGATGGGAGTTTCAGTCCAATTATGAGCTCTATGTGGCGCTTCCTTTGAACTTGAGCCAGAAGCTGCAGTTAAGGTAGAATGCTGCAGCACAATTGCTGACAGGAATGAGACCCTGATAGCATAGGAGACCTGTGCTCTGAGACCTGAACTGGTTGCTGATTTGCTACCGAACCAAGTTCAAGGTGTTACTATTAGCAGATAAACCTCCTAACTCTTAAAGGTAACTGTCTCCCTGAAATAAATACCGGTGGTCCAGCATTTGAATTCACCTTACTGCCATCCAGGATCGCTGAGTGGTGGCTTTCTCTGATGTTAGAAGGTGCTGGATGGAAATCTACTACCAATGAGATATTGCAATAAATATGTGGTTTTAGTGATTAGCTGCATTCTCCTAGGATTCAGAGTATCCCAAATCTAAACTGCTGTTCAGTGCTTTAAAATGAAATTAGCTTTTAATTAGCTGCCGCTTGCACGAACAGGGAAATTCTTTGCCGAATGATGCAGCATCACACCATTCAGTTCCCCACATTTCCACATTTTAATACAAGTTTCTCCTACACATTTTTTGCAAAGGAATGTCCCCTAATACAATGCATTTCCCACTAACATATGCATTTACCCCACTTTACCCTACTATATGCATCTTTGTACATACTGCTTGGTTAGATAAATGCATTGCCAAATTCGAAGAAGCACAAACTTCACAGGATAGCTTTGTTTTGTTTTGGAAACGGTGAATTAGGAGGGTTTGCCTTTAAATGCAAACTGAATTGAATTCATATCATATAATCTTGTGTTGCCTTTAATCCAATGCCTTTCAAGGGTCTGGTCACACATCAACTTCTGGGTAATCAAGAGATGCAAATGCAAGTATCAACCAGAATTTTCAAGTATTGCAGTTTGGTGTGCTTTCCTATTCATCATATTCTTCTTTATCTGTCTGTAACTCTAAAAAGAAGTTTACCAGTTTTTCAAAAGGAAAGTTTGGGGGACAGCTGCCGGTTGCATAGTATTTCCTCCATTTATCTTGCCTTTTTCATTCCTTTTTTTGAATGATAATTCTCGTCTTCTGTAATCCTGTACAGCAACAACTGAAAGATGAACCATTCCTCTCTCTCTCTTGAAGGATAAAGATTTAAATACAACATCTTTCAAACAAAACAAGTTACAATTTCAACTAACGTTGCAGAAACAGAAACAAAAAACTTTCCAACAACAAGAAAATGAATAGTTAGGGATGTTATTAATCTGATGCTGTTCACCCAGCAAACAAAAAACAGGGAGGTTTTCTATCAAGAAGACATGCACATTTAATCTCAGCTTACTTGTGAGAGTGACTTTGGACATATCATGAGTTTATTGCAGGAAGAAGCCCTGCTAGGCAAGTTAAGTTATTTATTTGGATTTATATAGCCTTTTGAAAAAGGCATCAAGCCAATGCATCAGCCCTGCCCTCCCATCTCTGTCTTAAGGGCCAAACTATGTATTATGGTTAACTTTAAACATGCTCAAAACTGGCCACTTTCCTTTTGAAGAAGTAGAAAAAAGAAGCTGCAGGGTCTGATTCCAGAATGTTCTCCCAAGCTGGATCAGGCACCTGCATCAGATTCTTGCTGAAAATCCTACCCACCCACTCCCCACTGTTTATTTTCAACAAACTGTTTATTGAACAGTGCCATTAAGCAATTCAACAGTGCCATTAAGGACAAATAGGAACTGAGGGGAAAGATTTCCGGCAAGAAATTGTTGTAAAAACAAATAGGACTGCACGGTACACTGAGGTAGAAAACTGTCTGCAGGGCTAGTTGTAATTGTGTCTTTTGAAAAATGACTTAAAAGTCACCAAGTAAAAAATGGAGGGGGAGAATCATCTGAGCAAAACTGGGGCTGTGGTGCAAACCCAGCAAGTCGAATCATGATTTAATTGTGCTTCTGAGAGTGAAATTAGTAAACCATGGTTATCCCTGCACTTGTAAGTCGTACCTTTGAAGTAGAACAGAATCCATTCCGGAAGTCCGTTCAACTTCCAAAACGTTCGAAAATCAAAGCATGGCTTCTGATCAGCTGTAGGAAGCTCCTGCAACCAATCGGAAGCCACGGAAGCCCTGCCAGACGTTCGGCTTCCAAAAAATAGTTCAAAAACCGGAACACTCACTTCCAGGTTTTGATGTTCAGGAGCCAAAACATTCGGGAACTAAGCTGTTGAAAAACCAAGGTACGATTGTAATGATAAAGCATGATTTCTGTGCTGGGGTTTTGTTTTACTGGTCTGGTGTTGATGTTACATGCACTATTACATCTGCAAACAGTAAGCCTGAATGACTGTGTGTGTGTGTGTGTGTGTGTGTGTGTGTGTGTGTGTGTTGCTTTCCTTCCCACTGGAAACAACAAAATTTGCTTAAGACTGTAGTTTAGTTTCCATCCTTTGCTGTGTCAGCTTCCCTGTGGCTGAATGTAGCAGGCAGATGTGTGCTTTGTGCCTTTTCCTCTCTCTGGCTTGATTTATCGGGGAGGCCGCACACAGATGTGCAGGCGCTCCTACTTTAAAACATCTGGCATGCCCTGAAAGCACCATATATGGTGAACAAGGATGGTGTCTCGTGATGCTTGGGCACATTCCAGTCTTTCTCTCATAGTGGCTGCGCAGAGCAAGTATCCTGGCCTGCTATTAATAGGACGTCTTAAAAGAGGAGACACTTGATGCTGTGAGATGTGATTGACAGGTCTGTGCTCAGCGGCCCTGTCCTCATAAGGCTGGGATGAAGTGGGACCATTCCATCACTGCCCCATCGCTATGCTGCCTGCACCTTACAAAGCACAGACTAAACAAAGCTGTCCAGAAAGAGGTCCAATGGAAAGTGATGGAGGGCGGGGGGAGAATCTTATTCATTTGAAGGGGAAGCCTTTTATGCCATTTACAAAAGACAAGACTTTAGAGCATTCACTATAAGTGAGGAGTTAATGGTAAGGGCTAAATGCTTTTAATACGATACGATAATCTTTATTGTCATTGTCCCATACAGAACAGCGAAATTGAAAAATCTACATAAAACATTCAAAACCCAACAAGCCTGCTGTCCCAGCTATCCTAACATGGTTAGCCCCCTAAAAACTCTGACACCCCATTTTTAAATACAATATACTCCCATAGAGACTCCTTAAAGGTAAAGGGACCCCTGACCATTAAGTCCAGTTGTGACCGACTCTGGGGTTGCGGCGCTCATCTCGCTTTGCTGGCCAAGGGAGCCGGCATACAGCTTCAGGGTCATGTGGCCAGCATGACTAAGCTGCTTCTGGTGAACAAGAGCAGCGCACAGAAACCTTCCCACCAGAGTGGTACCTATTTATCTACTTGCACTTTGACATGCTTTCAAACTGCTAGGTGGGCAGGAGCAGGGACCAAGCAACGGGAGCTCACCCTGTTGCGGGGATTCGAACTGCCGACCTTCTGATCGGCAAGTCCTAGGCTCTGTGGTTTAACCCATAGCGCGTTTAAAACCAAAATCGCATTTGGGTAGAAACTGTTTCTCAGGCGGGCTAGTCCTAGGCTTTATAACCTTGTACCTTCTTCCAGAAGGCAGAAGCTGAAAGAGATCATTTCCGGGGTGCGCACTATCCTGCACTATCTCTGCAGCTTTCTTATGGCTGCTGGAAACATAGATTTGATCCAAGGTGGGAAGAGTGCACCCAATTATTCTCTCCGCAGTCTTTACAACCCTGGACAGCATTGTTTTTCCCTTGACCGTGCAGCTCCCAAACCACACACACAGACCATAATGCACATTTCCTCCCACCCCAATCCTGTGACATGTAGTTGTCCCCTCACAGAGCTACAGTTCCCAGCACCCAAAACCAAGTATAGTTCACAGGTGTCTTATGGGGAAGTCATGTGCTTTTAGTGCACTTTAAATCTCACAGTTGTGGGTTCAAGACCCACATTGGGCAAAAGTTTCCTATATTGCAGGGGGGGTTGGAATAGATGACCCTCGTGGACCTTTCCTATTCTACAATTCCATATGAATCTAAATGTATGGTGTGGGTGTCATCATTCAGAGTGGGAAGAGGGGGGAATCGCCATAAAATACTGGTTGATGCCAAACAGGTTTTTTTTTTTAAAAAAAAAGGTAAATCACTAGGCAGAGAGATAAATACAGAACTATGTTTCTATTCAAATGCTCATCAACAGACCCAAGCGCTCTTCCACA